ATTGCTCGGCCAGACCACAATCCATGCCTGATCGGCCGATTCCCTCGGAACAAGACAAGCTGGGGGCTGCACCAACCGAAAACACAGCTCGGCGCCGTGAGATTTGACCAACCTGCGTTATCGTAGCTCGGCCGTACAGTCCGGTCCAAAACTCCCCTCTCAATTGCCCCTTAATCCCATCCGAGCTAATCGTGATTGGGGTTACCACAAAGGTCGAGCTAACGGTCCCCAAGTTGCGCCAGTACCAAGCCGAGCGTGATGGGCTTCGAAGCCGTCACCGGGCTATCCCATTTGGTCGGTCATCGTTTCAGCAGTCTTGTCGTGGATCGTATTACCGTACTGACAGCCGCGCTCTCAGTGCCACGTGGCTTCGCACCAGTGGTCCGTACCACCCCGCTATCTTCCACGCGCAAAATTCAAACGGCGCAGCCATTTGGTTTTCCCACCACTTTTAATATACATTTGAGAGGGAACTTTTGCCCCCCTCACTGTTCATTTCCCTCTTCAAGCCCAAACCCTAGCCTTCAAACGTCCCATACTTCCTCCCCTACTGTCATTGCTCCCCACGTCCGTTTTTGCCATTCCCGAAGCTGCAATCAAGTCTGCGAGGTTGAATCTTGCTGGGCATCTAGCATTGGTAAGTTTCTCCATCCTTCTTTCATACTTTCATACTCGAGTTCTTCGAGTTCTTCATTTTTATTATTTATTTTTTTTTACCACTGTTCTTCGTGTTCTTCGCTTGGGAGCATTAGAGCTCTCCCTCCTTGTTTAGACCTCGTATACACTAGGGTGAAATGGAAACCGTAGGACTGGATGGGGCCTCCGTGCCCCTATTTCTCCTGAGCTCGAATGAATGGGCCTGAACTTAGGATGAACTGGATGAACACCAGGTAGAACCGGGCTAAATATTAATTTAGATCCACAAATCGGACTTAACCGAGCTAAAACTAGTTCGTGTTCTTTTTTTGGGCCTTGACCGAGCTGCAAATAGAGGATCAGAACTGAACTAGGAAGGCCAAATCGGCCAAGTAGTCGAGCCGAGATAGGGGTCTCCCCGCCCAAACGCCAAAAATCCTTTTACCGGGCTAAGAGCTCCATGTATAAGCCGTGCAATTTATGCTGTGCTAACCCTTGGAATTATTCTTCAACAATGCAGAACAAACTAGGACCGACCAGGCCTCTCCAGCCACTGGTGAAGCCCATCGTCCGAGCAAACAAACCAAAATTTTTGATCGAGTTACAAACTAAATCACCAAATAAAACCGAGATAGATGGGGAAATACCGATTCATGGTGAGCTCGCCCGATGTGATGGCCGAGTTTCGTAGGGAGCACAATATTCCAGACGACGTCGTTTTAGAGCTAGCCAAGAAGGGAGATACCCCTTGGGGAGACCTAGATTGGTGCCCCTTCACGGTCATGTCCATAGTCGAAGGAGGACTTCGCTTCCCAATCCAACCCTTGATCTGCGAATTTTTGAGACAGACAAGGCTTTGTCCAACCCAAGTGTCAAACAACACATACAAGATAATAAACGGAGTGGCCAAGCTAAACAGGAGGCTCGGTCTCAATCTCGGCCTCGCCGAAATATTTCACCAATACAGCCTCAACAAGAATAAAGGTGGATTTTGTTGGTACCTGAAGGTAAAGAAGGGCCGAGCAAAACTCATTGAGGGCAACCCAGACAAGGAAACCAATGATGATGACTTCTTGTGGGTGTCCGGTCGGTATGAGGACACCGAAGCGCCCATATCGGGCTGGTACATTAGGAAAGATTTTGCCAGTGTTGGTGAGTAACTCGGCAAACTGCACTACTTTCTTTCTGCGTTGATTTTCTTCTCGCCGATCTAATACTCCTTTTTACAGATTACAAGCTCTTGGCCGATGACTACTCCTGAGCTAATCAAGAGGCCATCAGAGTTCTGCTTCGTCATCCGGCCGAGGAAAGGAAGTCTCCAAAGCTGCTCGGCTTTGAACCGACCTACAACTACAAAGCGCCGCGCAAAAGTCGGGTTACCGACTTCCTCCGTGCTCCTTCCCCAGAACCTGACCCAAATCTTCTGCCGATCAGACTTGTTCATCTCACTGCCGAGCAAGAAATGGCGAAGATCCAGGCAATCAAGTCCCTGATCACCGGTGAGGAAAGCAAGTCCCAACCACCGGAAGCCACCAGAGGAACATCTTCCATTCCAGCCGGGCAAAAAGAATGGGCTGTACTAGCTCTTGTCAACGAACAACCAGCTGGCCGGTCGAAGAAGCGACCGAGGAAAGACCAGATAGGGCAGCACCTCGTTGATGAGGACTCCACTGAGCACGCCTCTACCGAGCTGGGGGACCAGACCGAGCAACAACCAACCGGGCCTTCCAAGAGCCCAACCTCCCCCCTGGTTTGGGCGCCCGAGATCAAGTACAAGGGCCGGGTAGTCTCTTCGGCCGACTCAGTGTATGCGGACAAGGATTATTCCCTCGGTTTCAACATGACCAAGGGGCTAGTCCTTCCTGCCGACATGAAGAAGCACGACGAGCTGTCCGACCTGAAGGTGCTTCGCTCGACGGCTAAGTCGATCGTGTTGGTAAGTTTTCTACTCCTTTCTTCAAGTTATTGCACGGTTTTTGCTCAGTTTTCTGAATACTCACAATCTTTCATTTGTTTGCAGGCCGCACAAAAGAACTATCTCGCCCATGAGCGCATGATCGCCGTGCGACAGAGTCTGTGCGAGGCCATTGCTAAAAACAAGGCCCAAAAGGCTGAGGTAGCAAAGCTTAAGGCCGCGCAGGAAGCAGTTGAGGCCGAACGAGATAACCTGAGCCAAAAAGTTGACCGAGCTGAAGCGGACAAACAGCGGGCCGTGAAGTCGACCAAAGCCCGGTATCTCGCCGAGCTGAGGAAGCTACGCGATGCGCATAAAGAGGAGAAAGACAAGGCGGTTAGCGATGCCGAAGACAGGGGCAATGCTCAAGGCGAAAAAACGTATGAACGGCAGGTGCAGGCGACCAAGGACATCTTTTTCCAGTGCGGTTGGAAAGCTGCCGTGGAGAAAGTTGGCCTTGGTCAGGATGTTGACATGTTCCTACATCCGCCTGCGGCCTTCATACCGCACTATATGCAGGCCTATGCGAGCGCCGCGCAGAAGAGGCTCATAGAGGAGGCCAAAAAGGAAGCCGCGGAAGAAGCCGCCGCCGCGCAACAAATCGAGCAAACTTCTCCTGAAGCATCTCAGGATGCCGAAGATCAAATAGTCGATCGGGAGGTTGTCGCGGTGGAGAACGCGGATGATGAGTTGGAAGAAGGCTTGCCCGAGCACAGTACGGAGGTTGCCGAGCAGACTCTGGAGGTCACCGAGTAGACGGTTGATCTGGAATTGGACTGAAATGCCCCATCCTATTCCCTGCTTTATTTTCGTCTCTTTTCTTTCTTTGTTTAATTTAACCGGGCTAGGCCCCTCACTTGTAATGCAATTTCCTTGATCAATGAAATTTGAACTTTTTGCTCGTATAACTCCTATTTCTGTTCGGTTGTCACGTGCAAATTTCTTCATTCAAACTTTAATGCATCACAACTGGTAGGTCGGCAATGCCGCGCAATATGCCAAGCTAAAATCAGAATTTCTTCAACTGAAATGCCCACAAATCAACTGGCAGTTCGGTTCTTTGATTTTTCGAAAGAACCCAAAAATTTTCATTCGGCCGAGCAAAAATTACCACTGCCGCTCTGGCTTTGACAACACTTCAAGTCCTGTTTTTGGGCGGGCAAAAATCAGCTGGGCCCCAAAAGAAGTTGGACAAATCACAATTATTTCACTTCGGCCGAGCAAAACCAGCTCGGTCTTTAGATTGGAAAAAACACCAATATTCCGACATGGCCGAGCAAAACCAGCTTGGTCTAGGAGTTGGATAGAACGTCAACATTTTTTTTCTCCGAGCAAAGTCAGCTCGGCTTCTTGTAAGTTGGACAAGGCACCAACATAGCACTTGGCCGAGCAAAGTCAGCTCGGCTATTATCGGTTAGGCAAAACACCAACATTTCGTTTTGGCCGAGCAGAATCAGCTCGGCCTTAACATTGGGCAAAACACCAATATTTCATTTAAGTTGGACATGACGCCAACATCCCAATTGGGCGAGCAAAAAACCAGCTTAGCCCTTATGTGAATTGAACCATACACCAATTATTTCATTGGACAATACACCAACAGTTTGTGCGGTCCACTTCTATACCGGCGAGAGAAAATCAATCCGGTCCTATTTAGGTCGGTCTCTCTGCCCCTGGCATCCACTGTGGCCTTGTATCCTTGCGGTGTCATTGCACAGAAAAATGCGAAACAAAACAATAAGAGGGCTATTTTTCATTACAAAAAGCAGTGCTATCTTTACATCAAATGCCAAAAGGCTAAAGGTCTAAAAAGCTAAGCAATTACATTTTAAAAGTAAGAGATCTTAAGGTTGGCTGCATTCCACGGTCTGGGGACAGCCATGCCATCTAAATCTTCCAGATGGTATGCCCCTATGCCAGCGAGACCAGTCACCTTGTATGGTCCTTCCCAATTTGCACCGAGCTTTCCTTCGCCAGAGACCACCGTGTTGCCCAGCACTTTTCTTAAGACCCAGTCCCCGATCTTGAACAGCCTGGGGTGCACAGCCTTGTTGTATTTCTTGGAGAGTTCTTGCTGATAGGCCGCTATGTGGATTAGGGCCCGCTCCCTCCTTTCCTTGGCGAGGTCTAGCTCCAATGCCATTGCTTCATTGTTCAAATCTGGCTGGAAGCTTTCGGACCGGATGGTTGGCATGCCAATTTCCAGTGGGATAACGGCTTCCATGCCATAGGCCAAGGCAAACGGAGTCTCTCCAGTCGACCGTCTTGGCGTAGTGCGGTACGCCCAGAGTACGTTAGGGAGTTCTTCAGCCCACTTACCCTTGGCCATCTCAAGCCGCTTCTTCAGCCCGTCTAGGATGGTCTTGTTTGAGGCCTCTGCTTGACCATTTGACTGAGGATAAGCCAGTGTTTAATTGTAGAATTTGATCTTCAGCTCTTCGCAAAATCCGCGAAAAAGTTTCCCATCGCATTGAGTGCCATTATCCGAGATGAGGGCCTTGGGTATACCGAAGCGAGTGATAACATTTTGCCAGATAAACTTCTTCACATCCTTTTCCTTTATGGTCGCCAGTGGCTCGGCCTTAACCCACTTGGTGAAGTAGTCAGTGGCAGCGATGAAGAATTTGTGATTGCCCGGGGCTGCTGGGAGTGGCCCCACTATATCCAATCCCCAGAGTGCGAACGGCCAAGGACTTGTAAGGGGGAGCAATTCTCTCACTAGATGGTGGATCTGGTGAGCAAATTTCTGACACTTTTCACATCGACGAACGTATTTCTGCCCGTCTGCCTGCATGCACGGCCACCAATAACCTTGGGAAATTGCCCTGTAAGCCAGTGACCTACCCCTAGTATGGCTGCCGCAGATGCCTTCATGGATCTCATAAAGGAAGGCTTTCACCTTAGCAGGGTGAACGCACTTCAGATACGGCCCGGTAAAAGACTTCTTATACAAGGCTCCGGACGGGGAGAGCCAAAACCGCTCTGACTTGGCCTGGATCTTGTTGGCCGCCTTCTTCTCTTCTGGTAGAACTCTATCTTTCAGGAAGACGATGATGGGGTCCATCCAGGAAGGACCCAAGTCGGCGCAGAGCACCTCGGTCATTTTCGGTTCCTCAATGCTTGGCCGAGGTAAAAATTCTATCATCAAGGGGTTAGGAAAAGCTGTCTGAGCAGATGCAAGTCCGGCCAATTCATCAGCCGCGCGGTTTTCCTCGCGGTCAATTTGCTCCATCCTTATTGCAGCGAACTTCTTGATCTTTGCGCGTACCAGCGCCTGATACTTGGCCATTCTTTTGTCCTTTGCCTCATACTCCCCCGAGACCTGGTTGACCACCAGCTTGGAATTGCTGAATACCATCAGGGCTGACGCCTTCATTCTCAATGCGCTTCTTAGCCCGGCAAGGAGGGCTTCATACTCCGCTTCGTTATTGGATGCTAAGAAGCCGAGTGTAATTACCTGCTCGATAATCAGCCCATCCGATAAAGTCAGTACGATACCCAGCCCGGCTCTATTCCTGTTGGATGCCCTATCAACGAAGAGCTTCCACATCTCGCCAATAAACAGCTTCCAGCAATCGGAGGGGTTCTGGGAGCTTCTCAATTTCAAGTCTCTGATCGGTTCATTCTGGTCTCTTTCTTTGCCTTGATTGAGCACATATTCTAAGAAGTCACCCGGCTTTTCTAGTGCGGTCGCTCTTCGGCCTTCTCCTGCTTTTGAGCTAACACTCGTTTTTATCGCCAGAACCGTGGGCTGTGCTAAGTTCGCACCAGCCAAATCAACCGGGCAAACTGGATGCGTTCCAGGGGCGAATTCCACCACAAAGTCTGCAAGAGCTTGAGCCTTGATTGCGGTGCGCGGGCGGAACTTGATATCGTATTGCCCCAATTCCACGGCCCATTTCAAAATTCTTCCGTTGAAGTCTGCCTTTTCAAAAAGCACCTTAAGCGGGAACTCGGTTAACACAACTATTGTATGGGCATGAAAATAGTGCGCCAGCTTTCTTGATGTCATCATCAGGGCCAGCGCTAATTTTTTCAGTGGAAGATACCTCGTCTCGGCCGGGAGCAAAGTCTTGCTCACATAAAAGATTGGTGAGTGCTGGATGCCTTCAGCGCGGACTAGGACGACGCTTACAGCATGTTGAGAGACAGCCAAGTAGAGATACAATTCTTCGCCCAGCCGAGGTGTGACTAAGATAGAGGCTGAGGAAAGGTATATTTTTAAGTCTGCCAGTGCACGGTCACATTCATCATCCCAAAAGAACTTGGCCTTCAAAGTTTTAAAGAAGGGCCTGCAACGATCTGAAGACCAGCTGATGAATCTGTTCAGCGCGGCTTCCATCCAGGCAAGATGTTGCACGTCCTTCGTGGAGTTTGGGCGCTCCAGCTCTTGTATAGCCTTGATCTGTGATGGGTCAGCTTCAATCCCTCGGTTTGTGACCAAAAACCCCAGAAACTTCCCGATGCCGACTCCAAAGGCGCACTTGGAGGCATTCAAATGATGTTTGTGGCGCTTAAGTATGGCAAACATTTCTGCTAGGTCGGCGAGATGTTGAGACTTCTCTTTACTCTTTACCACCATATCGTCGATGTAGGCCTCCATTGTTCGGCCCAAAAGAGGAGCGAACATCTTTGTCACCATCCTCTGAAAAGTTGCCTCGGCGTTCTTCAGTCCGAACGACATGACTTTATAACAATACAAGCCTCTGGGAGTAGTTAACGACGTGATCTCTCGGTCCGGTTCATACATGGCTATTTAGTGGTAGCCGCGATATGCATCGAGGAAGGTAGTCCACTAGCTGGTCAATTCGAGGGAGGGGGAAGCTATCCTTTGGGCATGCACAGTTAACTGTCTTGTAGTCAACGCAGACTCGCCACTTGCCATTCTTTTTCGGGACGACCACCGTGTTGGATATCCAACGAGGGTATTGCACTTCTTCTATCGCTCCCGCTTCCAACAGATTTTTGACCTCCTCTACCACTACCTCGGCATGGTGCAGAGCCGAGCGGCGAGTCCTCTGAATGACCGGCCGCGCATTTGGGAAGATGTTTAACTGATGGAAAATGAAGTTAGGGTCGACGCCAGGCATATCATAAGGCGTCCACGCAAAAGCCTCCATGTTGGAGACCAAGAAGTTAACATAATCCAACCGCTCAGCGCTTGCCAAAGATGATCCCAAGAGGAAGAACTTAGTTGGGTCGTTCTCATCGACGTGCACTTCCACCAAATCCTCGACCGATTTTTCCTCAGCCTTTCTTCCTACGTCATCAAGGACCTCCTTTCCCTCTGGTCCCTCAATCATTTGGACAAATCCTTTAGCTGCTCGGCTGCCATTTACCGCAATGAAGCATTGTTTTGCCATCACCTGGTCTCTCCAAACTTCCTCTATTTGTCTGTTTGGTGCCGGGAAGCGCAAGACCTGATGGTAAGTCGACGCTACTGCTTGCATGGCGTGCAACCAGCCCCTGCCTAAAATTAAGTTGTAGGTGGATGGGACTTTAAGCACCCAGAACTCTACTTGCTTTGTGACTGAACCCGCTTTGACCAGCAGTATGATCTTCCCTACCGGCCACTCCGGCTGAGAGTTGAAGCCAACCAAAGGGGACGTCGCAGGGGCCAAGTCCTTGTCCTCCAACGTCATTTGTTTGAACGCGTCATAGTACATAATTTCGACCGAACTTCCCTGGTCGATCAAGATCCTCTTGATGTCAAAGTCTTTGACTCGAATAGTTACCACTAGGGTGTCATTGTGGGGCATCTGGATCCGCTCCAAGTCCCTGCTCGAACAGGTAAGAGTGTCATTCTCCTCAGTCTTTCCTTTCTTCACAGTGGGCCGAACGGAGAGCACTTCCCTTATGTGCTCAGCTTTCTTAATCATCCCTCTGAGCTCGTAGACCCTTGTTGGTTCAACGATGCCATGGATGACGTTGATTACGCCTTGGGGTGCTGCCTCTAGGGCGGCTAGGCCGTTGGGCTCGATTTGCCCCAATGGCGCGACTTTCATACCCCCATCTATGTATTGGTCAAGATGTCCTGCGGCCACTAGCTCTTCCAAATGTTGTTTGAACAGCAAGCAGTCCTCCGTTCGGTGTCCCCTTTCCTCATGGAAGGTGCAGCGATACCTTGAGTTGAAGCCTCTCTGTGCATTCCCCAACTTGGCCGGCTAGCAGACAAAAGGCTCGCCTCTGATCTCACTCAAGATGCGGTAGATAGGGATTTTAAAGACCATGGTGATTCCAGTCCACGCCTTCAATTTTCTCTTAGCATCCTCTGCTGCATCACGGGGAGCGTCAGCTCAGTTGTTTCTGCGACCCTTGTTTCTGTCATCGCGGTTTGGGCCACGTCGTTGATCTTTTGGCCGGCCACTTGGGCGGTTATCCTCCTGCCCGACCGAGTGAACTTTCCCTGCTACCCTTCTGTCCGCTGCAGCCGGATTAACCTTCTCAGTCGCAGAGGCGGCATCATCCTCCACACGAATGTGCTCATTGATCCGCTGCATCAAGGACTCCATGGTTGTGGGTTGGTGCATTGTGAGCAAGTCCCGCAGCCTATGCCCGACTGGGAGACCCTGCTTGTATTGAGTGATCGCCAGATTGGTAGGGAAGTCGAGGATTTCGTTGTAAGTTTCCCAGTACTTCACGTTGTATGCCTTCAATGAACCCCCTGACTCCATCTTGACGCCCAGAAGATGATCGACCTCCTTTGGCGTTCGAGTGTTGGTTTTGAATCTGGTGACGAAGGCTTCCGCTAGTTGCTGCCACCCCTCTATACTCCCTTCTGGAAGCCTTTCGAACCACTTCAGGCCCAGTTCTCCCAAGCTTGCTGGGAATATGAGGCACATCAAGGCGTCATTGCGCCGGTGGCCAGCCATTACTTGCCGATAATGACTCACGTGTATGTACGGATCTGTTTTGCCGTCGTACAAGGTGAACTTAGGCTAGTGGAATCCGGCAGGGAGTAGTGTACTCTCGATCTCTGGAGATAACGGCGTGGCTGTAAGTCTCGCCAGCTCTTTGTCCACTGGCTCATGGGCCATCACTCTGGGCGCTGGCATCACCACTTCTTCGCTACAGTGAACAGAGGCGCTCAATCTCTGCTACGCCGGCACTTTCTGAGCCTCTCGACGGCGCGCCCTCTCCTCCAATACATCCCTCAGGTCTCTGGAACGGGTAGAGAAAGAGTATCGTGACGTCGGAGAATGGCGTGAGGGACGGTATGTGCTGTCTCGAGTGAGGGATCTGCCCTCCCTTCGGTCGGAATCTCCAACCCCATAGTTCCTGGTGATGGAGAGAGAGTGGGTCCTCTCCTGGCGGCGACTGCTAGAACGAGGGACGGGGTGCGCTCACTATAGGTTCCCTTTCCGAGCAACCACCATTTCCCTTAATCTAACTTATCAGCATCTTCATCTCCGCCGCCATCCTACGAATGAGGGGCGTCTTGGTCTTTGAGTTTGTGTCAGGTGCTGCGCACGGAATCCGCCGCGCGCCGACGGCCCTCTGGACTCTTCGAGCGATCAGTACTCCTTCGCGTTTGTCTTGCGCACCTCGCGAAGAGGTTTCTAGGCCCGCCATGGCTGGAAACATTCGGGGGGCCTTCTCTCCGTCGGACAGACTCTGGTGTGACGCCATCGACGACGGACAATGGATTTTCGTCGTTGTTGGCCATGGAGATGGTTGAAGAAGCTTGAAAAACAAGGTTTGAGTATCAAAGAACTTCCCACAGACGGTGCCAATTGTACTGGGGCAAAATCTCCTCTGCTTTCCGTACTCCTTGGAGTTCAAGCTTCACGTGACGGCGTCTAACCTGACAACACAGAGAACGGTGAGCTGCCCGGCGGTGGTGTGCCAGATAGACCCTTCGACGATCAAGTCAGATCATTTGAGGAAGAAGGAGGCTATTCAAGAGAGAGAGAATGTCTCGGATAGTGCAAGTTGCTTACCTCTAACGTTCATCTTCCCTTCTTATTTCTAGGCTGGCCATGCAGCCTCAGGATTGTGCGTGTACTACCTCTGTTGTCCTTTCCTGGACAAGTGGCAGTGCTCGCCTCTCACCACCTTATGTGTGTAAAGGCCTAGTCCTCCAACCAGTACATGCAGAACAGCCAAAGGGTATTGACGCGTGCCTGGAGTAGATTTCCTCTCCCTCACGCCATTGGCCCAGGTGGCATGCTTAACCAGAGTATTACGACCGGTCTATCTCTTAAGAAGAATTGCCATCACAAGCCATACAACTGAGCTGTATCTTGCCGACCTATCCCTTGGGAACAAATGAAAGTCGAATTCTCATAACCGAGCTACGCGCGACCGGTCCATCCTGGCTGACCGGTCATGAAGCGTGCCGGCCCTTCCCCGCTCTTCTTTCCTCCTAAATCATATGCAATCCGGCCACCACGGCTGACCGGTAGGGCGCGCCGGCCCTCGCCTGTCTTCAGTCTGGCCCGGGCTACCCTTAGCTCGGTTGCTTCACGTCATCTCGCGTCCAGTCGAATGCCCTTTAGGTCATTGCTCGGCCAGACCACAATCCATGCCTGATCGGTTGGTTCCCTCGGAACAAGACAAGCCGGGGGCCGCGCCAACCGAGAACATAGCTCGGCGCTGTGAGATTTGACCAACCTGCGTTACCGTAGCTCGGCCGTACAGTCCGGTCCAAAACTCCCCTCTCATATCTGTAAAAAAAATGAAGGGTTTTAGAGAAATTTTGGACACAACGAACCTGAGTTGTGGGAGAGTCGGAGCTGTGAAATCAAGCGGCGAAGTGGAGATTGTGGTGATTTGTAGACTGGTTTGCTTTTTGGTTTCGCAAGATGTTTGGTGGCACAAATTCTGCGAATCAAATGGCCCGAAATTGTCAAAACGATGTTATTTTGCGTTGTTTTACATTCAAAACGACATCATATTAGATTTTAGGTGTTTTGAGCCATTTAAGCCACACTTAGCATTGCTGGTTTGTTTCGAAGGTTTGGGAACTTTGGATTTGGTCCAAATCAACTTTTGCCGTTTTTGAATTTTCAA